TTGGTATTAAAACTCCTTTTTGTTGAATTCGATTTACTTTTGCACGGGTCAGTAACCAATCATAACTCCTTCCGCCTTTCTCCGCCATTATTCAAAACAATAACAAAGCTATTTTGTGTTATAAAATATTTATCCATTTCTGTTTTTATTCATTTATATAATTACAGGTATATTATAATAATTACATAATTACAGTATGTATTTTGTATTTATTAATATATACTCTAATGAATCATGTATGTCAGTAATTGTAATATTGTGTATTTAATTAAAAAAATTACTTTTGTATATGTTCCATAAATTGCATGTTTATATAATTACAGGTATATTATAATAATTACATAATTACAGTATGTATTTTGTATTTATTAATATATACTCTAATGAATCATGTATGTCAGTAATTGTAATATTGTGTATTTAATTAAAAAAATTACTTTTGTATATGTTCCATAAATTGCATGTTTATATAATTACAGGATCGTATCTTTTGTTGCGTTTGTATTCACTTCAACCCCAAATTTCCAATTGATACTGACTACCTGGTTGAGCTGACCCGCGAAAAAATATATCATCTTAGTCAGTCATATGTTAGTTTTTACAAAGTATTATGAAATAAACACAGAGAATTCTGTTTTGTTATTATACAACTTTCTTTGTCGAATACGACAGGGTTAAATAAATATGTATGGTAAATTTCTTTTTATCGGTAAATTTAAAACTAATACAAATACTATTTGTGCTGTTAACAATACGTTCATAATCAATCGTTTTAATGTAGTCAGGAATGAAATAAACACTTGTTTAAAACGGACATTACCGACAACGACCTTGGTTACATTCTGTTTTTGTATTCAATGAACATAGGGCAAAAAAGGGCAACAAAGAGCGGCCAAGCGTTTATCAATATGTTTTCATGTCATAAGAAATGTCATTGACTTATAATAGCATGCAAAACAGCGTTTGGTTTAATCATCAAGTATGTCTGACACCAGCAAAACAAGATAGGTTGGAAGAAAATATCAAGTTGAAATTGATATTTAACCTTAAGAAGGAGCCGAAACTTTATGCCATTTTACCAAATCAACTTGCTTTTTATGTTATTGTTGGGTTTAGGCTAGATAAAACTAATATGATGAAATGAAATTAACTGAAAGAGAAACGATATTGTTGTGGAAAAACAATATGAATTTCCATGAGAACTCGTCACGGACACACCTGCCGATGTCTCTATAAATTCAAAATTTCACCATTTTACCGGACCTGCAACATTTTAAAATTTGGCGGTTTAGGCTTTCTTTATGGATTCTGTTTTTTCCTGTTTTATTTATTTAATGTATCTCAGTCGCTAGCTTAGTAGGAAAAGGGCTATTCTAGATGCAAATAATATACTACTTAAGAAGACAATATAAACTTGATTGGATTTTTATTTCATTTATTTTCAGTACTTTTACTAAATTGATTTGATAAACATACAAAAATGTTTAAATGAGCATTCCTTCAATTTAAACAAAATTGAGATGCCGGTGTTAGAGGCCGAGAGATATTATCGTCTCTTAAGAACTAAGTCAAAACGAGTCTCGTTGTCATATAATACTTTTTTTCATTGCATCTAAGGGATAACTTTTTTTAAAGATCATTAAAGAGTTCCAGATACCATATTGCCTTATTAAGTAGATTAAAAGGTGTTAGAAAGAATATTTTGCCTGATCATGTAGATTTAAAAAGTCGTAAAGACCATATCATCTGATCCAGTAGGTTAAAAGTAATCAAAAGGACTAAAATGTATTCAAAGCGGCCCTATGACCTACTCAATAGAATAAAGGTGTGATCAGGATTCTGATACCAGTAGATTTAAAAGAGTTTTAGAAGAATCATATGTCAGATATACCGTAGTTAATAACATCATTGAGCAGTGCAAGATTCAATTCATCATAGGAATTTCTACGGCCGTATTACCATATATAGCGGATTACAAGGAGTCATGTAAAAAAACTGATTATTTAGATTCAAAGAAACCCGAATTTATACAGACATATCAATAATTACTTTCATGCTATAATTGTTGCAGCTTGTTCGGATGGTAAATGCGCCGGTCTTGTAATTTTTAGAAGTGTTGTCGGCGTGGGTTTAAAAGCCTGTCAGGGGCATACCCTTGTTCACTTAAACAAGAAACATTTAACACATCACTTCAAACAAATGTGTTTCAGGAATGTTTATAAGCTCATTTCTTCTTACATCATCGGACCAAAATAAATTAAACTAAAAAATATAAATAAAATATCAAACTAATTACTGGAAGGATTTGATTCGAATTTTCCAGAGAATCTATGTTTCATTTGTCTATACAAGAATATCAAATGCCAATCAAATTGTGAAATATGTCACACTGTCCATATATCTGAAATGCCTTTTGTCATTTGTTTATTTCATAATGTATAAAAATGGTGTTCCTCCAAGGTCATTCTAGTTAGTATAGGTCGGTAGAAAACATGAAATGAATAAGATTCTTAACATAAAATAAATCTTGCATATTGTTTCTTTTTTAAGAAATATGAAAGATTGACATGGATTCAGAACAAACCCGAAACTATCTCAACTCACACAGGACCACGGAAAAGACACCAAGTGTGAACCACGACTAACAGGGTGTGTAATTGAAAGGGGACCTGCAAGTAATAATCAATTGTAGCGACTTAAGCGGACAGATCTTACACGACGAGACGTCCTCTTAAAATATAAAGACCTACGCATTGTAGTGGGAAACCTTACCTAAAATAGATTAGATCGATTAATATCTTTCCATTTAGTGAAAGTTTATTACTACAAATATATGAGTAATTTATTTTTTTTTAAATTTGAAACTCAGCTCCACAAGGCAACATATAAAGTAACATTTGTCAGACAAAAAGAATGACATTTTTATTAGAAATATCGTGACAAATATTTCTAATAATATCCAATAAAAATTTATTTCGTTTTGTTGACCTTTCATGAAAGAGGTTTTAATTTTTAAACATGTCCATTTGATTAAAATGTATAAATGTGTATTTGTTCTCTATGGTAAATTTGCTTTGCCGTTCGAACGCTAAGTTAATTGATTTCTTTTTTAGTATACCTTAAGGAGACAACATATATCTACAGTAAAAGTTTAGCAGACACATATGATTCTGCAAACAGTTTTTGATTGATTAGTGATTTCAAATCGGATGCATGAACTTTACAAACTTTGGTGCACGCCTGACGATGCATCCGTTGCCATATTATTTTTTCAGTCATCCTACTTATCTATTCAGGTCTTTCTGAAATTCTTCTATATTGATTTTTTTTAATTTTCTTTTGAAAATTTAATTCAAGTGTTTTGGACATTTTTGGAATTCACTTCTGCAAATGAAATCATCTCTTTTATCTTTGATCAATAAAATCGATAATAAATTAGAATAAATTTAAAGGTAGATTATGCCTCAGAAATGATTTTATTTTCATTTCTAAAAGGCCTTTTATGATTTTTGTCCTGTTATAGTTTCCAAAAAGTTACTTATTGGCAAATTACCTGAACCATCATTTGCTTCTATTGCTTTTAGCAATTAGTAAAATTATATTGAGTTAGTATTTGAGTATGGAAGTCAAAATACTACTTTGTTTACATTTTGTTACTTTTATGACAAATAGTTTTATATTCAGCACTACTTTTGTTAGGTGGTAAACATGTAACATGCTCTAAAATCATTAATCAATCATTACACAGCTTTCATGTCTGCCTTTTTTAAAGAAGGAAACATTAAATGAGCCGCGTCAGGACAAAACCAACATAATGGGGTTGCGACCAGCATGGATCCAGACCAGCCTGCGCATCCGCGCAGTCTTATCAGGATCCATGCTGTTCACTTACCAACCCTATAACAAGAAGAGAAACAGATAGCGAACAGCATGGATCCTGATCAGACTGCGCGGAAGCGCAGGCTGGTCTGGATCCATGCTGGTCGCAAACGCACTATGTTGGTTTTGTCCTGACGCGGCTCAATTATTCGTTTTTGAGGCTTAATGTGCCTTGAACCGTCAATTGTCACTGTCATCCATGTTTTAGTTATTTTTGTTAGAACTTGAATATGATGTTTATTTTGTGCTACAAAAAAGCCCGACATGATAAATGCGTCGCATCTAATTCATCATTAATGTCACTACACATTGGTTGATACTCTCCGTGGTTTTACCACATATATGAATTATACAAAAGGTAAAGCTCCGATGAATTTACATGTTTTGCGGCCATGTGGTTTTATGTTTTACGTATCTTATCTTTTCTATTATCATATTTTCGCAATTGGTGCTCGTACCTTTTTTGGTTAGATCTTCGTGTGGATTGAAGGAAATAAAGTATCTATCTATAATATTACAAAATTGTTTATCTCATACATCACAACATATGAAATGTGTTACTAAGAATAAATTAAATGGAATTCGCTTCAATATTTTTTACATTTTGTTATTCATTTTTTTTAAAGATGATTGCAGAAGTTTATCCGAAATTTATCTTTAGCTTTTCTTTCAATGACAAATCAAAATAATTGATTCAATGAATTGATGATACCAGTTAATTGAAACAATGCTAAACTGTTCATTTTAAGGGTCCGTCACTTTTCATTAAAAGTTGTATACTGCATATCATTCGATGGTATAATTTTTGAGGAATCGAGAATCTCACTGTTTATCTTGAACTTCAAAAACGCATGGCTACAATTTAAGTTTGCACAATTGCTAAATGCTCTATAATATTTGCTTTGTCAGTAACCTCCAAGTGTTTGTACAGTAACAATAACTACTAAAACAAGATGAGTAATTGCAGACGAGTTAGTTCATCTGACACACTATAAGGCAACATCCATCCCTCCCTCAAGCACCGTACAAAAGAGAAACACTTATTAGAAGTCTTGTTTCGGCTTTGAGTGGGAGTATAATTGAATAGAATAACTTTTGGTAAAAAAATTTGGTACGATAAGTCAAACTTTGATTTTTTTCATTTAATACGTTTACATCACTTTTAGTAAAACGGAAACAGAATAATTTGAGGTTGAAAGGTTTTGTTATGGAGCACGTTTAATCTTTAAAATACTTGGAAAATAGCGTAGATTAAAATTTGTCGCTCGTTGATAATAATAAACCTGTTAAAATGTCAGAATTTAGCTTTAATTGCTCCCACTTTGGTTCTCTATATTGCGAATATTTACAAATGAAATAATCATTTACATATTTCCCTCAGCAATATAATTTCAAAAAAGCTTTCAGAGAAGCAATTAAATTACATTGTACGAAATCACAGTTTAATTGAGATAAATTATCAAGGTGGGGAACATATAAAATAAACACCGTTATATCATTAACATTTCTAAACACATCTTTGGCATTTATCAGTTCATGAAGAATGTTATTGTTAGATAGTGGCTTCTATAAGCTCCTGCTTTCGGCTAAAATCTAGAATAATTGTTATGTTGTTACTTACACATGTACAAATATTCTAAATAAAATATGTTTAAACCAAACTCTTTTGCTAAATGTTAATGAAATAAATACAACATGAAAATTTGTGACATACATGAACTCAAAATGTTTTACTCACCTTTCAACCTAAGCTAGTTACAAAAAATGTACATTTTCATAACTAAAAAAATATAATCGTTCATGTTTCATTTTCAAAATAGTACAACAATGAGAATATATTTCGTGTGTACGTTTGAAACAAGCAGAACAATACGATTATAGCACAACTCTGCGAGTGTTTAAAACTACTGGTTTTAATGTTCCACAATGAATAAATTATGACACAAATTGTTTTCATGGCAACTCATCAGTCCTTGCAGAAACAGCAGGAAACAAACCTTTTTGTTTGTTTTATAATCCATTTTTATTTGCCATAAAGGCTAAATTTAGATTTTGGTATAGTTTTACTATGTCCGATGACACAACATGCGAGGCGTGGCCCTGCGTTCCCTGTTTTAAGACTTTCAGGATCATTTGGTTTCATGCCTAAGTCGTCTTCCCCGGCGTGTATCTGAAACAAAGATAATTTCTTAATGCATGTTGCTGCATGAGCTGATCATAAAATAAGTAATCTCCCCTTGCTATAACTATATATATTTGGTCAACGCGTTTGTTTTGTAAATGTTAACAATCACAAATGGACAATTGTTTACGTCATCAGACTGTTCGAACGTAATACATTTTTTTTGTAATTCATATACCGGTACAGTTAAAACCGCAGATTAAAATTTGAATATAGTGGAAGGATGACAATAAAGTATATAAATTGTGTACTTACCACCATTCCACGGCCGATGATAGAATACTTTCCATCAAGTCTTGCAAAGTAGTCAACATGTCGGGTCTTTATTGTTCCAAAATAACCCCTATCACTACGATAGTGATTTCCAAAATCACCAACATGACGACCACTGAAAATAAAAAATTGTCCAACGTCAAAGATAAAATATGAATAACTAAATCCTAAAAATAATCAGGTGCGTATTCTTGGTAAAGAAAAGTGATATTTTATAATGAAATTCTGGCACATTAAAGCATTCATAACTCTTATAAAAACAAGTCGGCAAGTTCATGGTAAAGAAATGCTTCAATCATTTATGAAGAGAAAACTAATCCAGGAAAATGGGTGATACTTTAATGAAAAATAACAATATTGACAATTGTAAAATGCGAGAAATTTCTTACGTTTTTGGATGCCATGGTGATCCATGGTTGACACCCATAGGATTGTAATGACCACCCATAGATTTGCATCCGTTTGTCATATCACCATATTCATGAACATGAACAGCGTTGTATTTTGATTGATTATTTTTTGGAAGATTTTCTATATTCATTTGAACGCTCAAAAAGTCGTATTCGCAGTTGGGTTTCTGAAAACATTTCACAACAAATTACCAACATCATGAAAACAATATGAAATAATAGATTCAAGGAAACAAAATTAAATATGCAAAAAGTGTATTGGTATAAGTATATGAAATTTAGTATAACACACTTTTGTGTAAGATAATGACTATGTGGTGGAAGGAAATAAAAACAATAAACAATATTAGAACTAGTCAGTCATAACAAAGCGGAAGATTCATGTGAGAACTATTAAGAAACGTTAACAATGGTTAATGTTCCATACATTGCCATTTTCTTCAATTATACAGCAAAAACGCTTTACTTAAACGTTTAATCGTTCTCAAACAATGTCATTAGTAACAACACAAGACATCAAACAACAAGAAAAGTTTGTCATTTGCATATTCAACATGGATACTATAAAAAAAGAAGTGCCATTTATCAGTTTATCTACTTTTTAAAAGTAATGAATTGTCTTATTACATGGAGGTTTTCTTACTGATTGTCGTTGTTTTTAACTTTATGACATAAATACAGGATATTGAATTGGGTGTAGTTTTAGTACTGAGTTAAATGAACGAGTTAAAAATGAATTCAGTAATCAATAGCTTAACGAATATAATATTCTGTTCATCATAGATCCAAAAATAATTGCTGTTTACAGTAAAAAAGAACTATTTCCACACTGACGCACTTTTAGTATAACGCTTACATTAAGCGTGCCTGTACGTATGAAGACTTTTTGACAGGTTATATAGTCCTATATTAACGGTTGTTTTGAAATAAGATTCTATTGCAAGCAACCGTTTATATACGGTCATATAACCTGTCAAATAATAATTATAACGAATTTACAGCAAGCATTTTGTGTTAGAGGATAAGTGAGATTTCTTCATAAAATGGCAGCAGTTGTGTATATTATTAGTTATAAAAATTGTTGACAGGTTATACGGCCCTATATTAACGGTTGTTTGTAACTATAACCCGAGCCGCCAGGCAAGGGTTATATTGCAAACAACCATTTATATTCGGCCATATAACCTGTCAACAATCTTTATAACGAATTTATAATACAGCAAACATCATTTTTAGAGGACTAAAGCGCGATTTCTTCATAAATCGACAGCAGCCGTATATATAAAACTATATAAACGTCACGATTATCCAATGAAAAGCGTCGTAAAAAACGTGCAGTATTATAAAAAAAACTATAAATCACGTTATACGTCACGTTATACGTCACGTCAAAATACTAGTATATGAGCGGCCTTGAAATACCGTTTTTACAAAAATAGCACGGGTATGTGATAAAAAATTTTATTACACTCTTAATGTCACGAAGACATTTATATCTATATATGTAGTGACTTTGAAATGTTTCAACACTTTTTTTTATTGTTTATTAAGAATTTCTATCATAGTACTTGAAAAGAAAAAGTAAAAAATAATACATGGCTTAATTCTATCACCAAAGCAACCACGAAACAATAGCCTACTTATGACCGTAAGGTGCTTACATCATTACATCATTTTTTTTTTCAACATATAAACTTACCACTTCTTGCATGAAGTAGAACATGCCTTTAATCCCACCAGGCTGCTCTGGGACCACTTTGCATTTTGCGTACAACGCTATGGAAAAAAAGAGATTTTTTTCAAAATTATAAATTGTTACTGTAGACAAAATAATTTATATTTGTTAAATATCATTATTTATATTTTTATCTTTTTTATCACTGAAATAAAAATAAAATCTTGTAAATATACTATTATACATCAATGTCTTGTCATTATTTGTAAAGGAAACCTATAAAATTATCATATGTCAAAGCATTTTAATGCAAGAAACAGAGACAGAGATTTAAGATAAACAATACAAAATGAGAGAAAATTGATGAAGTTTAATAGTTTTTGACATAAGAAAATTATTTGTTTGTTAACTAAATGAAAAGCATCATTGATCAATAATTATAAATGAAAATTTATGTCTGACACAAATTGTTTCATAAACAGAAATCAAAAATAATATAAAATGTCGATATTCAAACATCAATAATGATTCAATTTATTTATAGAAGCTACTCATTCAAAAGTGCATTTAAATCTTACGTTCTAAAGTGCATATCTTCTTTTCTGGTATTTGCAGCTCTTTCTGTACTTTAGGTATTATCTTTTCTATTGTCCCTTTTTGAACTTTAATCACTTTTTGAACTTTAGGTTCTTTATTTACTTTAGTCTCTTTAGGAGGTGCACACGAAACTAAGCAAATTAAACTTAAACAAAATCCAACAAAAATATAAAGCGCGTTCATTTTTCCAGATAACTCGTCGATTCGCACACTTTGTAAACAACTGAATCGGTACAGATTTTAGTGCATTTATAATTCAGATCGTTTCATCCCTATTTACGTTGTCATAACTGTCGTCTCTACGTTTGTCGTTTATACGTAAGTATTTATGCGCTTGGTAATTAATTAACCACGTTTTAGAATAATTAATGACAATAAAGGTAATTGTGTTTACCAGTCACGGTCTGTTGAAACGGAAATTAATCATGGACTATAAAATACTGAAAGCTAATTGCTCGATTTTCTGTTACGTAAACAATCGGCAGCTTATATAACATAAGACAGATTGCATTGAAATATTTTAAATGCAATCCTAAAGTTCACATAAAAAGTGTGCACGTTGATCAATTTTCAAGATAACTTAAATTTTAATGAATGCGCATCTTCTTTTTCAAAAAATGTCATGCATGCTATTACGTCACATATTTCCTCACACATTGTCTGTTAGATTAAAGTGGCTCCAATGAGGATTTTTAACATGAAGGGACAACATTTCTTTTCGAGATTTAACAACCATTTGAAGGTCTGTACCAATAACCAAAGTGGAATATTTCAGATTACTTTTTTCACTCCTTTTTTGCAGAATAATAATTTTATTGATTTAGTCAAATTGGGATAAAATCACACACATTCCATTTTCTATTTATTTCTGAGTATATTATTTTATTATATACCTATACATTTTTCTCCCTAAAATACATGCAAGTCATGAAGTGCTTATACGAATGTATATTAAAATCCGTCTTCTATTAGAGACAAATACGATATATGGAAGTGTCGAACTATTTTTGTCGGTTGGTTTCCATCTTAGCTGTGCATTACATAGAATCTGGAAACGGGAGCCGATGTTACTGAGGGCGCGGCCTCTTTTTAAAACATGATATATTCATCCGTCATTAATCAACATTTCTTGACTGCTATATTTTTGTTTGTGCAATAACTAATAGAAGTGCAGTTTATTGGACCTGTTTTAGTCTTAGAATTTACAGGTATATAATAAAAGGAAAATTATGTTGTAGCGTGTGAAAATTGATATCTCGCGAGACCGATTTTCAGCCGCTTCTTGTAGCAAAGTACAAAGTCACAATAAGCTACTACAACATGATATTCCGTAAATATGACTACCAATTTCCCCGGTCAAAAGAAAGTGATAATCACGAACTACGTCAGAACATTAAAAACAGTGGCGCCAAATTTAACAGTGTACTATTAGAAACCAAACGATAATGACTTTTTGGTATAAAGAGTACTGGTCGACCAATAAAAAAATTAAAAAATAACTAAAAAAAAAAAATAAAAAAAAAATATTACGTAAACAAAAGTAATGTAATTTTCAGATTCGGATAGCGTTTTTTGCGTCAAAAATTTAATGATAAAATAAGAACGTTCTGCTTCCTTTTCCTTTGAACATTTACCTGCTTAAAAAAGGATTCGAATGTCAATAATTGAAAAAAACTTCAGTCTATCCTTTCCGTCCGCTTATTCCCTGCGGTCTGAAGACCGCAGGGTATTGGTACGCGTTTAACTTTTGAGGCATGGAGGAGCACGTGACCTGTTTTCTGTACATGGAGGAGCATGTGATCTGTAAACCGTACATGATTGGTTAATTGACCTTTTCGAAAACCTAGCTAAATACTGTGTGCCGGTACGTACGGATTTACCGCTAGGGAATTAGTCCAAATTACACATAATTAAGAACAAAACTATTAAGTGACATTTCTAATTTTCTATAATTATTTTACCGTTTAAGGTGGAAAAACTTGAATGATGTGTTTGAAATTAAATTATCAATGTTTCTTTAATATCTATCTCAAATTTTACAAACAATAAATTGTTTATATTGAAAATCTACAAAATTAAAATATTCGTAGTGGCATCTGCCATAATAAATAGATATATTTTGTAAACTTGTGGGTTTACTTAATTTTTTTTGCTCGGAATTATTCATAAAATGGTAGGCCTATTTAATCATTTTCTTAAAAAGAAATAATTGTTTTATGTTCGACCTTCTTCGGTCTTTGAACAACGGTCGCCAGTCTTCTATATTGATCGATTATTGTCAACTATATTCCTGATACAAACGTTTATTTATCCCCCCAAACAATGTTGAAAATAGTTAAATGAAATTTCTTTATATCATTAAAAATGTTCCCCGCAGGAAACCATTTTACTTGTTTAGATCTTGTTTGCGTGTAAAAAGGAAATCGGACATCTTAATAAGTTTACCAAATGAAAAAAAGTAGATCTATTTTGGTTATATAATAAAACAGTTTTTGTAAGAAGATTTCGGTAAATATTTAAGAATGTGGACCTTGCCTCCGGTCTTGGTGAATATCACGTTAGCCTGCCAAGTCCATAGACTTGGATAATCACCTCATCGTCATACAAAAATTATATCACAATATTTTTACCATTTAAAAAGGGCCATTTCTGTAGCATAACATATTTAACGCTTTGTTTAAGCAATTTTACCGGCTATTTAACACCGGTTTGGAGTTTTGATACGTCGGAATTGACTACGAAGGGCGTATGCCTGTATGTTAATTTTTTCGCATCTAAATTGCAATCCGGTGTCAAATAGCCGATAAACACCACTCAAAAACATGTTATTTCGATTCTAACAAGACAAAATAATAATAAGGGAGATCATTAACGCTATTATTTCTGCCGCCTGCATGAGTTACATACTAGGAATGACGTCATTTCACTGCTTATAAATTAATATAAACATAAACATCTTTAATACAAATTTTCTCGTTTTGGTTATCATTTTAGAACATCATAATGTAAAAAATAACGATTTAATTGAGGATTCACCATAAACGCAGTATACAAAACATTACTATCAAATCGGCCTTTGCAAAAATTCATTATTCACTGTATAGCCAAATTTATGGTAGAATTTATTTTGAACAGGAACATTTAGAAACAGTACTTTCAACATGAAATATAATGAAACGCTGTAAATACACGTCTGCGGATGTTTAGCAGAACATATACGCGAACCGGCGGTCCTGAGCTAGATACTTAACAAAGGAGTGTTGCGTTGTAAATCTTTATACAAAATAAAGATATTTCAATATATTGTCATTTTTTTGTCTGTACATGCTACGGGCACTGTAGAGGATCTGTCGATGTTTTATATGTTCTGTTCACTGACCATTTAATCAGTATGCAACTGACATGTTAATAAAACCAGGAAATATTACATTTTACTCAAAGTTTTACTATTTAATGTTATTCTGACAAAATTTTATGTCAGATCAGACTATTACTTTTTTTCCTCTTGTAGAAAGTGGGTAATTTTGAAGTACATCTTTATTCTCTGTTTTATGTACAAAATCTGTATTTACGATAATAAACAAATCATATTTTGGTAATATCTGACCGTGTAATTCAAAAGAATACGTATTTTAGTAAATACGAACTTCATTCAAAGTTCCTGCATATTACGAGTGTACGGATCACGGTATATTAGTCATATACGTATTGCATTATATCCCGTACATCTAAGTATTCAGATTTCACTTATTTTTACCTGTCTATCTAAAACATACGGAATACCGTACCCTTTATTGTATCCATATATTTTCCGCAGTGGTCATAATGGCGTAAAATGTCGTCAATAGCGGGATTTAATAACATCAAAATAACAAACGCCCCGTGATAGCATGACTTTTATCCAAAGGGGTGGGGGAAATAAAGTCACGTGTACCGGAAAAATTGAGTCGGTGACCCCCTAATTTTTTTAGTTATTTTGACTAAGTATACATTTTAAAAGACGTTTAAAGAAAAAAAATCAAAAATTTATTTCAGGAATTTTTAAATAAGCCGCTTTAAAGCCGAAAAATGCGGCTAAACTGAACGTCAAATTTTACACAAAATTGACAGTTTTCTTTCCATTTTTCAAACATTTTTCGGCGTAAAACGATAAATTTTATATCAGCTTAAAGGAAAAATAATTTCCGTCGAATGTTGTAGAATTTAAGATATTTTGTCCGCAAATGGCGTTGAAATACCCGTAACAGTTGTCAAGGATACGCAACGACGTCATGTTCAAATCGGGCTTTGATGGTCAACTTTGACGCCGTGTGTTTAAAAATTGGCTGAAACTATTGAAATAAAATCAACAGAATTTAATCAGAAATATGGTCAACTTTTTGCATGCCAATTTTCAAGACGCTACTCGAAAGTTCGCAAAGTGTCGCGTTATACCTTAACATATGACGTTAGAGTGTAAGCGCGTTATTTAGCACTATATGAAAGAAAACTAATCAAGAACGGAAAAAATCTATAGAAATGCGTTTTCGTTGAATTTATCGTGACGCGGCTCATTTATACACCAAGGACATATATTGATGCTTTATCTTTGAACTACAAATTAAAAACAACTTTTATTGCTTTAAGTCGAAAGCCCTGAAACACCATTATTATGATTTCTACTGAGGAAATATCAATTTCTCGTTATTAACTGAAATTGTTAGACGCGCGATTGTTTTCTTTGAATATGACCATTGTTTTCTTTGAATATGACCTTCTATAAATAGAAAATTAATGTCTGTTGTTGTAATTGTAATTTCTTTGCTTTTAAGAAAATAAACTGGTAATAAAATATGAAACACTATATCTTTATAATTGAAAATCTGTTCATAGACAGATTTGTAAAGTATTTCCTTTTTCATGCCAAAATTGCTTATCTTTTCATAACATACTAATTACATGTTATATTGTATAGTGTACAAAATTAATTCAACTTTTGATTTATATCCACCACAGACATTATTTACGATTTAAAGTTTGAATGAATGATTTGCTTTCTTTTGTATGTTTCTATATACCGTAATTAAAAAAGAGAAAAGAATAAATAAAAGAAAGAACAAATAAAACCTTAACATGTAATGGCACAGGGTTTCATGAAATGTACATCGAATGATAACGTTCGGGTCAAAAGACGCTTCCTTTTTGAGCTTAAATAAATTAAAGTGTACAGTATGTTTGAAAGTAATAATTTTTGCTATACCATCAAACCAAAAATAACTTTAATAACTATAGTCTCAATGCATACAATTTACATAAGCTC